ATAGAGAGAGATATATAGGTATATAGATATATAGGTATATAGATACACACACATACCTATATCTATCTATCTATCTATCTATATATATATATATATCTATATGTATATATACCTATATATCTATATATCTATAGGTATGTGTGTATATACCTATATATATATGTATCTATATACCTATATATCTATATACCTATATATCTCTCTCTATATATATATAGTTATGTGTGTATAAATTTAGGTATGTGTGTGTATATATATATACACACACACATATACACATACACACATATACCTTTGTATATATATAATATATATGTATATATGTATACATATGTATATATATTTCAAATTATATGCATATATACATATGTATGCACATATATATGTATATTTGTGTATATATATGTATGTATGTATTTCAATACTAATCAGTATCTAAAGAGTTGACATAAATTTCATATGAAAAAATCCAATAGATTTAATAATGATGAGGTATGTTTAGTGATATTGAAAGAGATAAAAATTGCTTCATTGAAACAAAATGATATCAAAAGATAAATAGACAGGCAGATCAATGAAACCCAACTGGACAATGGCCAAAATCACATCCCTACATAAGGGAGCATAGTGCTTGTTAAGCAGGATATTTCAATCCATGAGAGGTTTGGACAATTGGGTATTCAGAAGCAGAACACAAAATTAGATTCCTCCCTCACACCATATGAAAAGGACAAGCTACAGATAGATAAAAAATCTAAATGTAAAAACTACAAAGTATAGAAAATGTTTATAAGCTTAGAGTGGCATTCTTAAGTGAGACTTGGAAACCAGACCCCATAAAGAAAACGTCATGGGCAGATTTGAGTTTCTTAAAATTCTAAATTCTATAAAGGACAGCAAATGAAAAGCTAAAATACAAGCAGCTAATGTGAAAATATTTGTCCCTTATGTAATAGGTGTGTGTAGCAAATATTCCTAATATTTAAAGACATTAAATCACTACATTAAGACATCAGTACATGGGAAAAAAACAATAACCACTTAACAGAAAAATGGACAAAGAATATGAATAGGCAAGTCAGAGATGAAGAACTAGACACGACCTATAAACAGATACAAGCTCTCAATCTCAGCATTAATTAAAAGAAAATCGACACATAACATCCCTTTTTGGCTTTTAGACTTGGATAATATAAAGAAAATAAACTTTCTGTGCTGTGCTATACTGGGCTAATCTGTGGCATGAATATGACCTGCTCGTTCCCTACAGTATTAAAGTAAATTTGTAAGACCTTTGGAGATTAGTTTGGTAATAGCTATTAACATTCTACGTGCTCATTTCTTATAACCTAGAAATATCATTTTGAGGAATTTTTCTTATGGCTATGGTTCAAAAGCATATTTGTGCTGATTACAAACATGAATGTCCATTAATAAGAAAATGGTAGAATAAATCTTCACATGGGCTTTATGTAACCATCAAAAAGAATAAGGTAGAGTTATATGTAATAACATGAAAAAAAGGCTGGGCATGGTAGCTCACACCTGTAATCCCAGCATTTTGGGAGGCCAAGGTGGGCAGATAACCTGAGCTCAGGAGTTCAAGACCAGCCTGACAAACAAGGAGAAACCCTGTCTCTACTAAAAATACAAAATTAGCCAGGCGTGGTGGCACATGCCTGTAATTCCAGCTACTTGGGAGGCTGAGGAAGGAGAATTGCTTGAACCTGGGAGGCAGAGGTTGTGGTGAGCTGAGATTGTGCCATTGTGCTGCAGTATGAGCAGCAAGAGCAGAACTGCGTCTCAAAAAAAGAGAAACATTTGTGTTATATTGATGAGTGAAAAAAATGAGTAGTGT